CATTTATAAAGTTGCTAAAATATATAGCCTTGCAAGGGCCATCAAGAACTTCGAATCGAAATATTCCTGCAATTGTGAGAGCCGCAATGATAGTGTAATTTATTGTCTTTATTCCTTGAACATTTTTAATTACCTTTTTATTTATTTGGGAATATCCATATAATCGCCTCATTGATATTGAAATACCCGCTCTCATCGATAAATATAAATTTTTCCTTCATATATGCTACATCTACAAACCAATTCGCGTATTCTTTGCGAATCTCTATATTTGATTCGTTATTTTCTCTAAGTGAACGTAATGATACTCTTTTAAAGCTGTACCTAAATCCTGAGAGTAACCTTGATACCGTATTTTTTGATATTTCCACATCATATCTTTCTTTAATGATTTCACATAACCTTTTTAAGGATAAAGTGCAATCCAAATTTATACAATTTAATATATATTCTTCCTAGCTCTTTATTTAATTTCTTGCGTGCGCGTGAACCTCCTTTGGGTAAGCTATATTTTATTCCATTTTTGAGATGAGAGTGTTTAATATTTGTCACTGTTTTATAGCTTACTTTAAAACATGATGCTATATTTTTGATACATTTTTTTTAACGCGTCAATTATTAGAACTTTTGTTTCACTGTTAATATTTTTTCCCCTTCTTACCATATCTTCATAATTTTATTTTTTAAAACAAAAAAATTATTTTTAAAGTATATACTCAACAAATGGAAGTGAAAAAGATTATAAAATTTACCTCATTTGCGTTTAATTTTTCATAAATCAAAATAGTTTAAAAGATAATTAAATTACAAAATAATTATTTACTTCCTAAAAAGAATAAATGCGTTTTGAATATATTAAAATTTTAAAAATATAAGAATTTTAAAATGATTATATTTTATTAATTTACATATCGTTTGGTATTACAGTTCAAACTTATTTATTATAACCAAACGATTAATTTAATATTGTAATTATAAATATGTATGTAAAAAATAGTCTGCCAAAAAAAATAATATAATTTTAAAAAAGAATTATCAAAAATGAGAAGAAAAGAAATAGAGAAAAGATATAATAAGAAAAATAAATTGAAAAAAGATACAGATAAAGTAAAGAAATAGCAAAAAGTTAGGAATATAAAATAAGAAGGAATGACAAAAAATAAATAAAATTTAAGAAAAATTGATAAATTATAAAAAAATTACGATTTTGCTTTTTGAATGGGAATTTTCCTTTTAAGATTGAAACTTTCCCTTTTTTGAATGGGAAACCCTGTATATTAAGGGCATGACAGTCATACCCATCAAGACAAAAAATTAATAATTTAAATCTAAAGATATTTAAATTAGATTTTATTTGATACCCATATCGATATTTTGTGGTGATAAAAATATTCCTGACCCCCCAAGACCTAGACCCGCTCACTATGCATGATTAATATTATTACAATAAAAAAATATTTTTATTAGCTTTTATTTGATACCGATATCAAAAAAATTTATTTTTTACCCCCCCCCCTCTATACACCCCCCCCCCCCCCCACCACCCTCAGACCAAGTCATACCCAGCCAGACCAAGAATGAAGAATTTCACTTAGACCATATTAAAATTAGCTTTTATTTGATACTCATATCAAAAAATTTATTTTTACAACCCCCTCCCCCCCCCCCCATCAGACCAAGTCATACCCATCCAGACCGAGAATGAAAACTTTCAGTCAAACCACAAAAATGAGAAGAAAAAAAATTGAGAAAAGATATAGTGAGAAAAGATACAAATAAAATAAAGAAATCGTAAAAAGTTAGAAATAAAATAAGAAGGAATGACAAAAATAAATAAATTTAAGAAAAATTGAAAAGTTTATATATTTTTTTAAAAATTTACGATTTTCCTTTTTTGAATGGGAATTTTCCTTTTTTGATTGACCCTTTTCCTTTTCTTTTGGGAATTTTCCTTTTTCGATTGACACTTTTCCTTTTTTGATTGGACCTTTTCCTTTTTTGTTTTACACTTTTCCTTTTTTGATTGAACCTTTTCCTTTTTTGTTTGACACTTTTCCTTTTTTGATTGGACTTTTTTCTTAACCTTTGGGACTTTTCCTTTTTTGATTGACAATTTTCCTTTTTTGATCGGACCTTTTCCTTTTTTGATTGGGACTTTTCCTTTTTTGGATGGGAAATGTATTTTGGGGTTATAAAATAGATTGCAAAGGCCTCTGAAAATATGAAAGGAATAAGAAAAAATAGCAAATTTAAAGACCTGCTAGTCGGTCGAGTCTAAAAAATATAAATTGGGCCGGGGTTTAAACAATTCGAAAAATTTTGGACAATAAAGAGCTAATTGAGACGGCATTTTAATTATAATAAAAAAATAAAATACAAAATGTTGCGTCATTAGGGCGCAATAATTCTATTTTTATCTAGCAAATAAAAATTAACAAGGGAAAGTGTCTTGAATTTGCTGTCAGTTAAATTTATTAATTTAAAATATTGTTTAAATGTCTGAACCTATATGTGCGCCTTTTTTATATTTAATATCGAATTGATACTTGATCAGACCGATAATCAGACAGATACATAATATAAACTCTGACTTTGACTTGTCATTTGGCGAGGATGACATTCAAATTATGAAATAAAAATTGTACTATCCCCTTCTACAACTATTACCAAAACAATGGACTTAAATGTAAAAATACCTTAGCCAAGATTCGAAAAATATTTCAGATTTCACAGAAAAGAGGCTGGTAGTACAGGCAACTTCAAAACAAATCCAATCTATGGAAACACATCTCAAAGTTTATTTTTAGATAATTTGTTAAGTTTTAGTTGCATGTACATGTAACAAGATTTTTATTGCTTAATATTATATAAAATTATTAATTAAAAACTTTTTATGAATAATTAATATATATTAAATATTCTTATATAAAAAAATATATATTTAGAGAACACATTATATCATAACCAATTTTATAAAATAAAGGAAACTATAGATAATAAGAGAAATTATTCAACAACATCAAATAAATTAAAACAAACAAAAATTAACTTCCTGTTATAATGAAAATTCAAGTTTTATTTTAATCGGGCATGGGCTTTTTACCTTTCTTTTTAATTTCCCATGGGCGTTTAAGTAAGGGGCTTTGCCTCTTGCGCGCACAGGTAACTGCGGCCTGCCTAAAAACGTGGATGGACCTTAATTATTTAATTATTTCCCATTCTTTTATCCCAGTTAGATTGGTTTTTATGAGAGAACCAAGCGTTGCTCTGTTGTATATATATCATTGATATATATATGACATTTTAGGGCTAGTGCACTTAATATCACGTATCACGTATTGAGCTAATAAATACTCTGCAACCTAATATGAAGATAACATGTAGACAAACCTTAACTTCAAAAATGTCTAAATATATTATTTAAATGAAAAATATTTGACGAGAAATATTATTAGAGCCCAATTTTGATTGCACAACAGCTGATTTGACTACCTTCAGGCATAGAAGATGTTATTGTCATGTATTGAAAATGATGATTATAAGAGAGCATATAACATTACCATGTCAAAATGCCAACGTTTGTGGAATTTGCATAATAAATCTGGACCATAATCTTAAATAATTTAAAAGAAATCAAATTGTCAACTATCATATCCCTTATAAAGAGTTGGGGTAAAATTTTGTTGTTGATAAGGAGCATATATAGAAATTTAACGATTTCCCTGATTTAAAATAAATTTTTAAATATAATGCTATCCTTATATTAAGTGTTTACCTAGAACATTTGTTCAGTCTAAGGAAGCTTATTTAGGAGGAGAAACGAGCGGTCTTTTATAAAATTTATTAAACCCGAATTTTTATAAAAATAATAAGTGCAAATATAAGATATTTTATTTTTATTCGGTGTAAATATATTCAATTCTCTGGTTTTTTCAGTTTAATTTTTTTTATATTAAATTTTTTTATATTAAAGAAAAAGATGCGTTAATAATTGATTGTTAAATAATTTATAAACTAGCTTTGTTGAAATATAAATGTTACTAGTTACATTTAAAAATTGCAACTGGTATCTGTAACTAGTTACCTTTTTAAGAATTAACTAGATATGTTTCAAAAGTAACTTTTAACAGCACTACTATATATACATATAGATTTATTGAAAATATTTTATGATTTGGAAAAAGGTAAAATTGTGTAACAACCTACAACTCATCCAAATGCCAAATATTTGTAATATTTTATCAGATTGTAATTTAAATATAAGGTTGTACAAAATAATTTATATATAATGTATATATGTACCTCAGTGTCAGGGGGGAGAAAAATTGTGTAAATATTTATACAATATTTTTGTTGCCTATTATCGATATTCTTTTGAAATAAAAATTATAAATAAAATAAATATTGGTAAATAATATCGATATATTATCATTATTAAAAAAATTATTTTAAATCAAAATTATATTTTTAAAATTGAGATAAATTAAAGCAATCAAAAAACAAATAAACCCCAAATTTATCCATTTACTCTATATTCAAACACTTTTTTTCTTTCGATTCCACACAATTTATTAAAATAAGAAAAAGGTTATTATGAATATTTTCGTTTCTAAAAGATCACCTATAAATCAGCTATGAATGTAATGCAATTAGTTGTAAACTTTTATAAACTTATCTTTAAAAAAAATTATTTTTAATTTATACCTGCATTGCTAATTAAATTTTTTTTTAAAACTTATATTTAAGATGAATTAAAACTTTCTTTACAATTCTATTCTTGTTAATATACAATTAATTGGAGAAAAATAAATTCCCACATATTAATTTCTCTTCCTTTGGAGCATCTAATGAATGTAAATATTCACTTAAACTATTAGGATTATTTACGTTTAGATTTTAAAGAGGATAAAGTGTAAGTCAATGTAATATATTTTAATTAAAATATTTTGTTATTTTTATGACCTTATATACTAATTTTTATTTTTATTTTTTTGATAAAGTGCTTAAAAAATGAACACATTATCCAGCAAAAGTTTGCAGAGAGAATATTGTTTTCTGTGCGATCTTCTTAAGACTCCATGGACTATTTTACATGATTTTAGCGAAGCGGTGTGTCGGGCTTGCGTCAATTACGAAGGTGTAGATAGGATAGAAATGGTAATAGAAACTGCCAGAGAAATGCGTAAAATATATGATTCATCCCATCACTCTAATTCAATAACCCCCAAATCTTGCGATATTTCTAAAAACTTTATTGACAAGATTGATAACTTAGGAAACGAGGAGATTAAAGGCATTGGCTATGGGGATAACGGGGTTAGCATAATAAATAACAAGATAATCGCGAAAAATCATTACATAGCTAGCGCCTTACACCATAGACAAAATATTTCTCTAAACCCGCACGATCCAATTCTTTATCACAACCTTAACAACGACCTCAAAAGACACAATTCACCATACAATGGAAAGTTAAACACACTTCATAAAGATGCCACTAGTCACAATGAAAACCTGAGAAGTGCAACAAACAAGATAGATAATGAAAGGGTTTCTAAATTAGAAGACATTGATATTCGGGGGAAGAATATTCTTTTAAACCAACAGTTGGGTACCAATGACAAAGAAAAATTATCCCATTATGCCCCAATCACGAATAATGAAAATATAAATGATAATATGCCCAATATTTCAGATAAGGATTCCGAATACATTGAAAGAAGAGAAAGATTGAGTTCAGATTTTTTAATTCGATCAAAGAGCTCTTCTATTTCTAATAGAAATTTCTTGAGAACGAGTAATATGCCCTCAACATATAAGTACAGAAAATATTCAGGTGAAGAGTTGCAGTACCTTAAACAAATAGGGTATGGAAATAATGTACAGCCTAACGTAAATTATCAGGATAAAGGTGATTGCCAAATAGGGAAACAGCGGGTTGTATCGGAATATTCTCAAAAAGAGTTTTCTCCAGATTCAACTATCTCACCTTGCTCACCCCCGTTTATTCTTAAAATCGACGAACATCAAAAAATTAATTTCAGAGATTCTCCGATTCATGTTTTACATCATAGTAATAAAATTCCAAATTCTAATATCAGTGAACTAACGGAAAACGTTTATAAATATAAAAGTAAAAATATCGATTTTGGGGGTAGGGAAGGGGATTTTAATGGTCAAAAAGATCATTTGAGTTCAGCTCAAAAAGATCAATTCAAAGCGCTACCTAAAGAACTTGATTTAAACAATCAAAAATCTATTTCCTCAGAAAAATGTAACAAGTCTCTGAATAAAGTACAAGAGAGATATGATAAAAGTCGTTACAATGTATTCAACAATCATGATCCAAAATTATTCATACCACAACAGAATTGCAGCAACAAAAGTCTTATGTCTTCTGGCTCCTTTAACCTAGCTAATTCAGGTGCAATTCATCAATATCATCAAAAGAACTCTACTTTCGGTTTTGATTGCAATTCAGGCCGTAATTCCTATTTTGTATATCCTAGTTGCCAGCCAAATAGACCCCCGTTTGGAATAAGATATCCTCATATCAATATTGGTGGGATACCATTGCCATATCACAGGGCGAGCCAAAACAATTCGCAGACCCATAAAAGGAGCTTTAAAGAAATGGATGATGACATATATCTAGTGAGCTTACCAACTTCTTTGTCTAGCTTGCCCAAAAGTCAAATTGACTTGGATAAAAGAAAGTTTTCACTAGGGGATTATCCACCTTCAAGACATGACAAAAGCAACTTTGACAGCGATCAAACTAGCCTAGATTCAGCAAAATGTAATATTTTAAAATATTTCGTCATTTATTTTTTGAAATATAATTTAATATCATATTTATTTATTATTAAGGTTTATCCGTCTCTAATATACCTTCTGCAGAAATGGAACTACCAATGAATCCATTGATTAATACAATAAATGAGAGACATGGAATTATGACTGAAAAAAATAACAATAAAGACCATGATACTAATGATACTAATTATTTAATAAGAACTAAAAATTTTGAAACTTCTGATGTCAAAAGAGGACGATCATCCAACGAATTTGACAAAGATGGGGAAAATTTTGCAGTCAGCGCTGATATTCAGGGTTCTTCTAAATCATCATTAAAACTGGAAAAATTAAATCGAGATAAATTAAACAACAAAATTAATATCAAGCATTTTATGAATGATTCTTCGAATAAGGAAAAAGACGATGAACTTGATGTATTACGATCTGCGCATACAAATACAAATAATAATTTAATTATAGATGAAATGTTTAGAGATAAAAATCAAAGATACCCTCCTGCTCAATCCAATAATGTTAAAAAACATTCCGAAAGAATGGCATCTTTACCTGAGTCAGAAAAAAATGGGGATATTTTTGTAACATCTCCTTTGAATTGCATACTCTGTCAAAGCAGACTGGAGGACACGCATTTCGTTCAATGTCCCTCGATCAATCATCATAAATTTTGTTTTGCTTGCACGAGAAAAAGCATTAAAGATCAACAAGCCAAAATAGTGGCGAATTTCAACAAAGATCAGAAAAATTTTAATAAATTATCTACCAATTTTAGCAATGAGATATATTGTCCTAGTGGACTAAAATGCCCTCTTTTGGGCTCAAATATACCATGGGCATTCATGCAAGGAGAAATTGCCACCATATTCAGCGCTGATTGTCACGTCGAGGTAGAAGCGTCCACTTTTAATCATCGATCTTATAATAATGGCAATTATACTAAAGAAATCCGCCCTAGAGGCAAATACAATACAAAAAAGGAAGGGAAAAAAAGTGGAAAGGATCAACCCAAGGACAATTGCGAATTTAATAAAAAGCAATGTAGGGGCGAAGTTAGTCATCCTACTACACCTCAACTCAAAGAAACGACGGATTTTCGTCAATACGATACAGAGAATAAAGAAAATAAAAATGCACGTGATTATGATTATCCAAAAGAGGTAAATGATAATATTGCAGAAGGTCGTATGAAAGAAATGCGTGAAGAAAATGATGAAATCCTTGTTAATATACATATGAATAAACAGCAGCAAAACCTCGACAATAAAGTTGTCAAAGATAGCTTTCGTAGGCGTTCCGATTCTTTGGATACTAATATAAATATTTACAACTATGATACGGATAATAGCAATGAGAAAAAAGAATTCATCAAGAGATCGGAGAATAAAGAAATAAACAATAAATCCTATCATTCTCCTTCACTCACAATCAAAATTAACGATCATAAATATGAACACATACACACGCCTATGACATCTAATGAAAACGTCAAACAAAGATTGCGTAGCAATAATAATAAAAAACTCAATTCACCTATCTCTGGCGAACATTTAAAATCATCCAACCAATCAAATAAAACTCATAGAGAACTTAAGGAGTCGTTTGGAGTCTATGAAACTAATGAAAATTTAAATAACTATAATAAAAAAAGCCCACAAAGCAAGAAAAAGAATGAAGATTTTATCGACTTCTCGGATAATCGCGAGGATTCGCCGCGTTTAAAGATATGCGATGAGACGTGTACAAATAATGAACTGACTGCGATTACTACTATAACTCACAAAAGCGAAATCCTTAAACAAACCAAAGAAGAGAATGGTAATTATAATACCAAACAAATGAATCATCAAGGTCTTAACGAAAAATATTTTTATTCCAGTACTTCTCATACGGAACCAAAAGGTTATGGAAGAACGTACCAGGCAACAATTAGCAACAAATGCAAAATGGATGCCAATAAATTAATTCCAAATACCAGTGAAACTAACTTTTACGAACATCGCGAAAAGTCTACTAAGCACGAGAGTCCAAGACCGCGAGATAATGTTAACACAATTGTAAACGATATTATCTCTTACAATCAAACTCCGCTATCTATAGATGATGAGAGCGGACAAAAAAAATCTGATAATATTGTATTACATATAGAAGCCTCAATCTGAAACGAAATGTATAGCGAATAAGTATTTATATTTTTGGACCTAAGAGTCTTTGATCAACCAAAGGTAATTTTTTTAAACTGGTTTATGCTAGCTATGCTAGAACCATCTATTATTTTAATTTAATACTGTTTATGTTTTTTTTAACAACAATTTTCTAAAAAAATATTCCATTTATAATTTTTAATTTATAACCGTAAATAATTCAGGTAAATCGTTAATATACCTGATTTTAGTTAATTTTTATTTATTTGATTTTTTTTTTACTATAATAAATTCTTGTCAATATTTCAAATAAAATTATACTGCGAATTTTTTTCTTAGATTATATTTGGCAATTTAATTGACTTTTAAGTTTTTTTGTCATGTGATATTGAATTCACGACTATATAATATTCACTTTAATCAGCTACTAAAGTCTCATAATCTGAGAATGATTTTAATTAGTTAAAACCAAATAATCATACTTTTTTTTAACTAGCATGAACAAATTTCATAATTTCGTGTATAAATTTTTATTATGATGTTTTTTTAAAATCATGTTTTAAATTGTTGATATATCTTTCTTTGTCAACCGAGGCTTATAGAATAATTTTTGGCTAAAGTTAGAAGCCATTGGAATTCTATTAACTAAGTGGTAACAATAAAATTTATCTCATTTTTATATTAGTCAAGAAGATCGCATAGATGTTTCGTAGAGTTTTAATGCCATTTTTTAATATTATACCTATTAATAAATTATGATATTATAATCACGCTGATTCAAAAATATATATCAATTATTTATATATTAATTTTTTTTAAATAAATTGTAAATAAATTATTTTGTTTCATTGTGGTGTCATAATTACGAAAAAGCCATTAAATATTCAGGAAACTAAACATAATTTAAGTATAGTAAAATATTAATGAATCAGAATAATATTTACTTTTTATTAAGGTCATATTTCTATTAAAAGTAGAAATTAGCTCCCAATTATTTATTATAATAAGTCAATAAATATTTTTTATTAGTATAACCTCTAAAAAATTACATCAAATTGATATGCCCAATATTTTTACTTCAAAATTTGAAAATAATGATAATATTTAATCAGTAATTTCTAATTTAAAAATCATAGTTAAAAAATCTTTACATTTAAAATAATTTCAATAAAACATCGAAATATTTCTAAATCTTCAAGTGTATTTTATTACAAAATAGGTAAATGTATTTTATTAAATAAATTCAAAATTAGAGTGTATTATATTTCTAATATGTGCATAGTGAATTCTTTTGCATAAATATTTACTTAATTTGAAATGATATTGATATTAGAAAAAGTAAAAATAAATTAACTCAATATAAAAAGGCTAAATTAAGAATTTTATCGTACTTTATATTTATATCTAATCTTGCCATCATTTAAAAATAGATGTTTTAATAGGGTAAAATAACCACTTTTCCTTGCGTTATATTTATATCTAATCTCGGATCGATTGCTATCGTTTAAAAACAATGTTTTAATAGGGTGAAATAACCACTTTAAATTTAGTTAGGATTCAAGATGTCTAAATAAATTTTAATTTATTACCTGAAATTTAATGGAATCAAATAGGTTCCTTAGAGATGAAATATCTATAATAAATAAATAATATTAAATGAAAGACAAACCAACATATGAATTTGACTTGCTTTTTAGTTTGGAAGTGACTAAAACAAGGTTTCTTTGGTAAAATTTTTTTGGTCCTTTTTAAATCTATATTAAAGCATTCCTTTCAGAGTTGTTGAAATAACTGATACTATATCAATAATACTGTAATCGATATGTTTTCATATCAAACATTATTGGGGAATACTTTTGGGATTTTAATGTATCATACTATTCGCGTCATACATTTTATATCTTCGATTTTTTTTTAATCCTAAATGATAGTTTAAATAATTTCCAAAATTTTAAATTAGTATAAAAAAGATTATATTGTATAAATTAAAAATAATTGTTATTTTATCAATAAATCAAATTAAATTAAGAGTTAGTTTACAAACTTCTTATTTTCTTTACAATTTTTTTCAAAGAAATGATTTAAGATTTTTCAATTTTAATAAGAGCCATTGTAAAGATTTACATCAGTATAGGAGGACAAATTTATAGTAACCATTATCCATATTTCAATCTTGAATAGGGACTTGGATTCAAAATTCAGAATAGAACAAAGAAAGTGGTAACATTTAGGAGGGGGCGCTAAAAACTTTGAAGAAGCCCCTGAAAAATATATATGGTCCCCTATTTTCAAATTTTAACTTTTTTAGTGCTAATTGAAGCTCGAATTTTCTTTTTTTGCTCATTTTAGATAGAATTAATTAATTCTTTTTTTGCTTCAAAGAAAATTAATTTTATCTTTAATGAGCCCCCTCCAGTTAAAAGAAAGAGGAGCTTATATAATTAATATTTATAGCATCGATTTTCCAAATTTCCCAAAGTAAAACTATTGAAGTTCGATGAGCCTATGCCACAATATGCTATAACTATAAATATAAGAGAAAAACCTTGAAAATTACAGTGTTGTGATGATTTAATGAAACATATTGACGATTAAATTCAAACCCATTCATATAAAATTTTAATATTTGCAAAAATAATTAAAATAACAAAAGGAATAATAAAAGAAATTTCAATAATGCTTTGTCTATATTTTAATTATTTTTGCAAATATTATAATTTTATATGAATGGGTTTGAATTTAATCGTCAATATGTTTCATCAAATCATCACAACACTGTATTATCATACATAAGATTAGAAATTGTACATATTAGTTTTTCGAATAAATTAAACGATTATTTATAAAATGTTACTATGCGCAGAGTTGGGCAGTACCATAGACACTTGTATCTATATTTTCTATCTTTTTATCATAATGAGATAGTTATACGTGTATCGAAGATATTTTATTTTTAAAAGAACCTTGTTTTTTTTTCATTTCTATGACAAAATATACGGATATATTTTTGTAAATTATTAATATTCACTTTTAAACTTCTTTTTTTCTGGATTTTTATATTATTTTTGATATCTTACTTATTATAAATTAGATATTTTACCTTTACCTTTACAAAATACTAGCCTGTCTGTTGGCAAGCAAAGATACTTGCATCATTGGCTAAATAAGAGTATCTTTAATACAATATATTTTTATAAAAGTATCTATTTCCTCTGCACAATTACCCATAGAGTCGACGAATATGTCAATATATCTCATGGGTCACCAAAAATCAATATCATGGCAATGAGCTGAAGGTTAATATTTCAATTAATGAAAATTCTATATATTTCTCTGTATGATATCCCAAAATTTTTCAAATTGTTTAGAATTTTTTTTAATTATCTAAAACGCTTGATATTTTGACAACTATAAATAAAATATTCTTACGATATCATTAAATATAATTAAAAACCAAAAAAACATCATTCTGAAAAAATTAAACAATACAATCAGAAAATCAAAATTACCTAAATAATACTACTTATATAAAAAGTACCAAGGACTGTGAAATATAAATAAAGCAAATATATTTAATTTGGGCATCGTTAAGACCAAGATTCTAACTTAAACAGTTGCCCAAGTTAGACATTTTCTTATATATATATACTTTAAGAATTTGATTGTGACTCAAAATTCTTGTCAAAATACAGAGTTGTCCGTCCATATTATAAATTAGACAAGGTTTACAGTATATATTTTATTCACCCTATATAATTAATATTAATATGGATAAGAAATTATAAAAGTGAATAATCTAATTTGTATAGTAAAATTAGTATGCCAAAATATAAAATACAAAGAATATTAATTTAAAAGATAAAGATTGGAGAGAAAGAAAGAAAGTGTAATTTTCTAAAGATTGAGCATGATATTCGGAAGAAGATAGACATCAAATTAATTTTAATAAAGAATAAGATATATTTTTCACTCAACATATAAAATGAAATTCGATCTTTTTATAATAATTGTAGTAACTGATATAATGTCATTCACAATTAGAATTAGTGTAGTTCAAAAAAAAAGAAAAACAATTTAAAATTCGAATGTCATTACCAAAACAAAACAAGTAGTTTAAAAGAGAAAAATAAATAAAAAAAACAATTACAACTACTTAACAGAAAGATTAAGAAAAGAAAGAAAAAGAACAAAGTTGAAAAGAAAGTATAAGATACAGATATAAGTATCTTATTAAAAATGTTAAAACAGAGTACAAGATACAAAAGGATCTTGTATCTTAGATGCAAGTATTTGGAGTACTGTCCAAATCTGCTAAAGACATTTATTTTCTTAAACTATTTTCTAACATTATAACAATTTTCACCTTTCAAAATTAATAAATAAAATAAAATAATACCAAAAAAAGTTAAAAATATTTTTAAACTTTTCTTTTCATAAATTTTGAAAAAGTTCAATAAAAGATGGAATTTTGATGTCAAAAAATTGCTTATCATAATTTTCAGAGGCACATTAAGTAAAACATTCATATTTTTTAAAGAAATACCTGAGAGAGGATATATCAGTTTTATGTCTAAGTATTTATTTTTATTTTTAACATTTTTGAGTCTAAGAATTTTTTCTGAACATTTAAGCATTTTTTATTCTTAGAGTTTTTATTTTGAGCTATTAAATAGGATCTGGATAAATTTATAAATGATGTTATTTAAAAATGTATCCTTTAATATTTAACCTTACACAATAATTTTGAAATTGTCTTTAAGTTAATAATCAAATATACTTTTTGTGCTTACTATGAGTTTAGAATAAATTTAAAAAAAAACATATAATTAAATTTTATTTTAACGTCGCATATCTCTTCATAGCGTAGTTATATGTCATATGTGGATGAGTTAACAAACTGCCGTATATATCATTTTAATCAGTCAAGATAATGTTCAAATTTTATAGACATTTCAACGAAATCCATTTCGATATACTCCGGTCACCATTTTTTTTAGTAAAATTTATTTTTACATAAAATTATATATTTTGAGTACATTATTTAAATGGGCAGTAAAATGATAAAAATGCGCAATTTTAAATAATAAGTTCTACAGTTTTAAAATTAATCATATTTTATTCAAAGGTTAATTTAATTTGTCTAAATTTTAAAATAAAAAAGTACCGGAATATTGATGTTCAATACTTTAGATAAAATAGGTATCGCAATAAGATTACGATATACAAAATAGTATCACCAATACTAATATATACCAGATATAATATCGGTTCCTTAGCAATCTGATTGTGTTAATAACTTGTCCAAATCGAGTTTATACCTTCCGTTGATAGAGATAACTATGTATGTATTAGCTATTTCAATCAAATATTTTATTAATTGACTGAGATTCTTTTATTTCAATAAGTAATGGGATTTAAATAGCGTTACCTTTTGACCTTTAATTATACCGAAAAAACTGGATAAATATGCATAATTATACAATTATTGGCGTAATATGGGGGGGGGGGTAGCAGGAAATCCCCCTGACAAATTTGTTAGTTTTTGTAATTATAATGTTAAACTAACAATGATTTTCCCCCAACAATCCCCCACTTCCTCCCATCCATTACATTATAATCATATTTTCTAAAGTTTTTTTTTATATAAATTTTTTTTAAAATGTAATTTGGAGAAAGTTTTTCAAAGTGGAGGCTTAAGACTTTAAATTTATGGTAGAAAACCAAATGTTTCCCCCTCCCTTACGAAAATCATGGTTATACCAGTGTTTAAAGGATGGATTACACGTGAAATTTTTATTATTTATGCTTATATAACGATAAATTAAAAGGGAAAGGATAAAAAAAATTGGCTTTGATTTTCTGGTACACGCTATATCATCAGTTATATAAAATGTTGAAAAAAGAAATAACTATGAATATAATTTTTTTTATAAAGGTCTATGATTTTTGAGTATATGGCCTCTGATATCGGTTAAAATTGTATCGGCTCATACTACTCTTTTTATTACAAATAAAACAAAATATAATTATTTTAAAAATGTATCCTTCTCAAAATTAAATTTAAGATATATTCTTTTTTTTAAGAAAAGAAGAAATAAGAAGTTATTAACACCCTAATAACTAATGTTGGCAAAATGTTTCTTTTCTTATCTTTTTTATTTTAAATAGTTATTTAACAAACAAGTCGCGATTACAAATCTAATTCATTAATACGAAAGAACCAAGCAAAGCTCTGTTGTTATAAAAATGTCTTTCCAAAAAGTTAAAGGTATTATGTATAACAGAAGTAATAAAATACAGTTTAATTTAAGAAAGGGTAGTACAAAGATATATGAAAAGGTGCAACATTGTCTTTAGGTTTAAAAAACTAATTATCAGGAGAGATCGAATTAATAAAACAAGCATAATTATCCTTAAGAATGGCTATTGAGTAATATATTTTATTTATATCGTTCTGTATTTTATTTTTAAATTGAAAACGTTTGTAAAATTAAATATTTGTTGAAAAGAGAAAATAAGTCTGATATGAAGAAATTTCACAAAAAAAAATAAGGGGTCAGATTGAAGAAATTTCACAGAAAAAATTACTTTAAAGGAATTCATAAAATATTATATTATAATTTAAAAATTGATAGAGGAATTGTCTTTCGGCAATTTTTTTAAATTTAAAATATTTGTTGGGATTTGAATAGATAATGTCTCTCATTATATTTAAATAATAAATTGTTTATTAAATTTTGCATATTTAAATTATCAAAAAATCAATCAAGCTAATCAATCATATTTTAAACAATAGGCGGGCGTCCAAAACTATGGGGGCGCTAAAAAATTTAAACAATATGGACTTGTGGGCTATAACTCGCCTATCGCAGTTCAAATTTTATTTATTTTAGTTAAACATATGGTAGTTCTTGTTAAAAATTCCCTATTTTTAAATATGATAAAAATAAATTAATTTATTGACACTTACTGATATTTTTAAAAAAAGTTAAAAATATAAAAAATATAAATAAAAATATATAGTTTTAAAAAAAAGATAAAAATAAATAAAAAGATAATAAAAATAGATAAAAAGATAAAAATAAATTTTTAACAAAGTTTTAAGTTGGGCAAGGTAGCTCGGGCCATATAATTAAATAGATTTTTTATTCTTAGCTGAATAAAAAAAAAATATTTTGTTTTTAGTCGAAAATCACTTAAACTTCAGATTATTTTTATAAATTTTACCCCAACCTTGAAGAAAGGAGATATAAATTAACTTGCGCCTAATGTTTGGTAGATTTTTATCGGTTTGCACATGTAGTGTGAATGCCAGTAATAACTAAGATGAAGCATGATTAGCAAAATAAATATATTTTAAAAATCCCTACTGTGTCAAATAATTTTTAAAAAAATTCAGGTACTGTGTGACGTTGCACAAGTAACTCAAGCTAAAAAAAAGGCAACCTAGTATTGTATTTTTTCTAAGGTTTCGGTTCTTTAAATAGAGTTTTTTGATAAAATTGAGCATATATGGTATCCTGCAAAAAAACATAAAAACGGCAAATATATAATAGTTATGATACTTTAATAAAAATAAATTTTTGGGCGTATAAATATTAGGAGATGAATATTATAAATAAATATAATGCACCAACATGTGTCCCCTGATAGACTTCATTCTGTTAGATTGCACATGACATATCAATCACAAATTTAAATAAAACTCTTGCTAATGATAATGCACGTCGTCAGAGAGTACATAGTAATTTATTATATTATGCAACGACTACATTTTATTAAATCATTTTAAAATTTTATTTATATTAATCCTAACTCAATGTGGCGGCCATATCTGGAGATCTTTTGACCATACCCACCCTAATCTGGTCCAAGAAGTTAGCTTCAAAAGAAAAAAAAGTAAAATAAAGTAATTTTGCAATACTAAACCGGGTCTAATTAAAAAATAATTAACATCCGCTGTGGGTCTCTGATAAATATTATTTAAATCAGAAATTTTAATTAAATTTTTTAAAAAAATTTAGAGTCATTATTGTTACGAATATAAAACATATATTGAATAATTTTTCGGCCCAGTGTGGTATTTTATTCATTTAAATTAAAAAAAATTTAAATAACCTAAATTTTGATTTGTACAGGTGTTATATTTTCATTTTTTTAGGAAATAATTAAGAAACATACATCTTAAAGTTATTGCCATATTTTAATTTTCAGCTAAATAAACATTTTTGCAAATAAAATTTAGAATATAGAATTATTTATCTTGCGGGATATTTTCAATAAAAAAAATGAATTCGCTCATATTATAAATCAACAAAACTCCTTGGATATTTTAAAGAGATAACAACAAATTCAAAACATTTTTTAGAAAATATATTTATATCAAATATTGACAACAATAATAGAATAAAACAAATTTAAATTCTTTTGACATTAGCTAACTCATTATCTATAAAGAAAAGTCATTATCTATTCTCCAGATGATTACATATTGATGACTAATAATGAGTACCACCTGAAATAATTATAATATTTATATAATTCTAAAAAATTTGACATTATAACAAAAATATAGTTTACATTTAACAATAGTTAGAAAATGAAAACCGAGGCAAGTTGGTTCCTTTTTGTTCAAACCTCAATAAGTTCCAGTCTTAAAAAAAATAATTCACCTCGTTCTGGGCCTAAAATAGTCATTTTACAAAACCCGAGCCGGTCTTGATTCTAAAAAAAAAAATTCTAAATCATATCAATTAATCAGTTGGAAATGTTGACCAATCATATTGTAAAGTTTATTATTTGCTCCTCATATTTTAATTTCCCGTCAAAATAATAATAATAAATAAAAACCAAAATTATTCGAAACGTTAAAATTTTAAAATTCCAGGCCTTAAGCAAAAATACAAAAAAAAACAGGCGACGCTTAAATTTATAAAAATAACTAGACGAAGCAAGAATTTAAAAAAAAAAAATCCGAACCAGGCCTAAATTTCCACTTCTAAACTTAGAACTAAGAAATACTAAAGCGGTGTCCAGTTCAATTTATTTTTGAGCTAAACAGCTTTTGAATTAGGACACACTATTTTGGTTTGTTTAAATTGTTTGATGGTATTGTTTTTTTTCGTTTTTTTATTTGTTTTTTTTCGCTTATTTTTCCTTTTATTTATATTTTTATTTGTGTTTTTTTCTTTTTTCGTTTTTTATATTTTATTTTTTGTTTAATTCTTTGTTTTTTTTTCTTCTTAGGCTGTGTTTAGACGAAGCTATATAGTCGGCAAAACAGCTGGGTGTCTGGAAATAAGTCAAACCATGACATAGCCTAAATGCTGAAAGGTTAATAATTTTTGTTGATTTTCTTTTTGATTTCTCAGAAGTATTAAACTGCTCAGGATTTTCTATTTTCTATTTTTGAATTTTTTATTTTTTTCATTTTTTTTATTTATTTGTCATTCTTTTTTGTTGAGCGAATTTAGTCATTAGAAGATTAGGCTTCTTTGAAATTTTATTACATAATAGTTCATAATGGATATCAACTGAAGGTTAATAAAAAAATATTTTACCTATAGATCTGTATCATAGGGGGGGGGGGGGGTAAAATTTTTTTCCCAACAAAATATAATGATAAGGGTATCGAATAAGCGCTTCTAAAATAATAATCGATTGACGGAATTAATTATAATGATCCCAGGCCTTTCTTGATCGTGGAAGGGTATTCAAATTTTCAAAAATTTATCTAAGAGTAATATTTCGACAAGCGTATCAAAAGATCCAATATAAAGATTGCATGATTGCATTGTTAATCATAACTCTATATATATTCCATACATTTAATGTGAATCTATGTCCAGAGTGGTGGAATTTGAAAACTGTTTCTAACATAGTAACTCAACGTGGGATTTAAACATTTTTCTAGTAGGTCATGAGAAGGGGGGGGGGTCAAAAAGTATTTTTAAGATATTATTTTAATATGGGTATCAAATAAAAAATATTTTGATTGCTTTGTTAATTTTACTCTAGATCTTCAGATCTCATTTTATTAACTTTTTTCCCCAAAAATATATACCAAAGCAAAGCCAGTAATCAATAGTGGCACCCTTATATCAATTATTGCGAAAATATCAATGTGGATATGAACTACCACGCAACCAAATGCTATTTATATCCGAAACACCAGTCCTCACCTATTATAATAAAAATAACACTTAATCCCACTGATACGTCTAATGGAGTTGAAGCCATTTATCGCATAAAAAAGAATGAATAAAACCGCTAGAATTAGCGCCTATAAGATTAAGCCCTGCAAATCACCATTTTGACAAAATAGGAGGCTCTATCTAGAATATTCGGCTTAATTAAATTTAAATAATATTTGATCGGTAGTCATTTCACAATTATCCCAGACCCCAAACCTTTAATATCATTATTTAAACCTTATTAAAAGTTATTGAGATGTCATCTCCCGTCTACTAAGATTAGTTATTAGCAAATTCTGCCAATAGATAACCTTTATTCTAACTGCAAGGGAACTATATAGATCTTATATTAAACGATAGTTCAAGTATAGTGTCAACTCGGATTTGCTAAGTAAAATTAAAAATGTTCCGCTATAGTCAAAAATTTAGAGATATCTTTCAAAAGACTAATCAAAGAAAGTAGAGGCGAAGGTAAAACTATTCCAAAAAAATAAATTAACACATAATTAATGCGGGTTCTAGTTGAAACTGGTTGTTTGTAATGGGGTTTAGAAGCATAATTCCAAAATCGCTGCAAGAATAATTACTAATATTACATAAATGTTATCAAAACATACAAAAATAAGTTCTTGGTATAACCATACCCATTAATCAAATGAGCGAAATTATGCCAAAGGTTACATTGTTAAGAATGTAAGGATTAGAGTTTGATATTCGTCCATTAAACAACACAAGTACACCTAGACTTTGTAGTACCAAATCGCGAGTCATTATTCATATTTATAATAGCTAGTTTTAGTAAGTGGTCTGAAGTACAAAAAATTAATACGAATAAGTTTGCAGAGGTCAGTAAATTATTTAGATAATTTCTTACATTTGGTTATCCAAATATATTAGTCGAACCTTTTCAGGGCATAGAAAAAGTTTTTTTAAAAAATTAAATACGTTCATCCATATCTACTTATAGGCGTTTTTACATGCCCCACACTCCATGAGTAGTATATTAAAATGTTGACCCTTACTCTAAGGTTTAATAAACAGGCTGCCTATCTCCATTTAAACCATTCTTACGTTTTTTAAAAAAAAATTAAATCGATTATAATCAAAATATTAGGCTGATGTTTAGGATTTTAGAGATTAAAACATAAAAATCATTCAAAAGATCGAATCGAAACCTCAATTAATCAGTTTGACAGAATATAAACACAAGATCTGTCATTAGGCTTAAAAACCAAACTCGCCTACTTCAGTGCCTCTTTAATCCCCATCTGCTGATGTAATGACATGAATAATTTCACAAGAGCGCAGAACAGATGACCGAAATAATGTTTTCTCCAAAATTTATCAAAATTTTAGCGACAGGGTTCAAAGTTATGGTCATAATTGGACAAACAAAATTTGAACTTTCCATGAATCGATTGATTGCAAAAATTGATGCTACCGGATCAGCAGATAAATATGGTGATTATAACCCATGAATAGCCCGTACTATGGAAAGTGTTTATGCTGTTGGAACACTCATATCGAATCAATAAGATCGATCTGGCACCCACAGGACAATTCGCCAAGTATCCCGAGAAACTGGTATTTCGCAAACTTCAGTCCATCGGATTATCAACAAAGAACTAGCTAAAATGTTTAAAAAAGAAACAAGCCCAGGACCTGAGTTGTTAAAGGTAGCTATAGCTAATAGTGGCTACTTTTTTTGTATTAGCGCGCTACTTTTTTAGAAATACCTTTAAAAAATATAATGAAGGTAAGTATAAACATGAAAATTTAAATATAATATAATTAATTATAATTTTTATGATTTATTATTTAATTTTGAAATTGAAATATATTTTCAATTTATAATTTATATTACCCAAATCACGTGTTAATAATTTAAAATGTCATCGCCTATGAATACCCAAATTGTTGAAAGTGATTCAGACAATGATAGTAATGAAAAGAAGATACCAGGGAAGAAAATGTTCTTAATAGCTATAATACAAATTTCCCATTCCCTAGATTTGAAAATTTTTTAAAATAAATATATAATCCAAAACTGGCTTCAAATATATTTGTTTAAAATGCAAAAAAAAATATTTCCTTAAATCAATCCAGTAGCTATAACCTCAAGAAACACCTAAAGGTAAATTGTCATTTTTACATTCTTATAATATTTATTTTATAAGACTGTTCATGAGTTTTAAGGAAATGGGGAAACATCTAAATAATTTTGGTATAGGACTCTACATCCAAAAAGACTAATTCAATTCAAACCAAATTAATTAATAATGCAAATGACAATATTTATCAGAAATTGGCTGATAAAGTTATTGTTGATTTTATAATTTATACAGTTCAGCCAATGTCCTTGGTTGATAATCTATCCTTTACCATGATGATTAAAACTCTATCCCCTGGTACAACAATTTTACGCCAGACACTAATGAATAAAATAGCAGATAACTTTAAAATGATGAAAGATGCTCTAATAGTAGAGTTATCAGAGATATCATAAATATGTACCATGGCAGATAGTTGGACACATAACAGAAGGTAAAAACTTATTTATATTTATAAATTGATCTGATTAAATATTTTTATGCTTATTTGAGAATCACAGGCCATTGGCTAGACCCTAGGACTTTAAAAGGAAGATCTGGCATTAGCTTTCAAAATGATAATAGGATGACAGACATACGATGTACTTGCAAATAAAATTATTGATAATCTATCTTATAAATATGTATATAAGATTAAATACGCCCGTACTTCTCAAGTGCTATTGTCGAGAGATTATTTAGTAAGGCAAAACTTATACTTTCTGATCGTCGCTTTAGACTTGGGGGTGATAATATTGAAATGATTTTATTATTAAAATGCAACAAATTACCATATTTATTTTTATTACATAAATTTTTTTATAATCAAAACTAACTATATTTTAATATTTATAAATGTTGATTTTTATATATTTACTATAACAATAACATTATAAGCAAAAAATAAAAAATTTGTTTGTAAATTTTTTTAAAGCTAAAGCTACTTTTAAAAAATAGTAGCTAATAGCGCTCTACTTTTTAAAGTAGCGTTTAACACCTCTGCCCAGGACCTAACCAATGTAAATTTAATTGCCAGTCTGGTATGTACCAAACAACTTTTACGAAAATTCCCCCAGAGGTTAGTTCATTTCTTATAGTTTATAGATGAAAAGCTGTTTACAGTAATTCCACCGGTAAATCTGCAAAATGACAATATGTACATTGCAATTTCAATGAGAAAAAAACAAGTTGATCAGTTGGTACAACATTTAACTCAAATTAAGGCTAAATGTTGATGTTTTTGTCGAATTAATAAAAAATAAATTTTTGCAAGGGAAAGTTCCAATTTTGTTTGTCCAACTTTGAATGTGCATAACTTTTGAACCATTGATGAAATTTAATGAAATTAGTAGAAAGCATTGATAATTTACCCTTGTATCAATCTATTTAATTTTAATTTTTTAAATTATTTTTATTTAATTGACTAATTCTAACAAAAAGGATATCAGTTTAATTGGAACACAGTTTATATCTCTCTTGCATTACTAGTTGTATTTTGCATTCATCATTTTATTTAGTTCAACTATTATTTTTATTTAGTTAAAACTCTCTATATTTTACATAATAGTTTTATTTTAGTTTTATTTGCATAATAACTCTCTTTTCGTTAGTTAATATCATTGTAAATAATAGCTTTTTATCTTACTCTCTTGAGCTACAAAAAATAACTATTATCAATCAAATTATAATAATTATCAATTATTTTTTATAGTTTGTAACAATTATTGTTAAATAGAACTAATATATTTTAAATCAAATTATTATATTTAGTAATTTAATTTAGCCACATTCCAAAAAAATATGTAATTGATGGGCTAATTCTTTCTAGTATAAACTACTTTCAATTTCTGCAGATTTAACAAATTATTTAATTATTTTTATAATTTGATTTATCTTACATTAATAGTAATTTTACATGAAGTAGAATATTCTCATTCTAATATTTTATATATCAATGACTAAGGTGTAGCAATTTGGAATGCCTCACATAGGCCGCCCGCCATAAATATTTTAAAAAATGATAGTTGAAAAACTAGATGGAACAGTTTTT